TGAGGGGCCGATAAACTTTTGGTATTGTGGGTCTATTGGGAGTTGTTGGTTTGGTGTCTTGATTGATGTAATGGCTCTTTTAGTTCTAATATAAGCATTTTCAATTTAAAAAAAGTGTCTGGGACAATCTTAGCGGGAAGAAGGGAGTATATCGGATTTTTACCCTTTCTTTGAAATCTTAAATAAATAATCCCACATTTCGAAAATCTGCTCAAAAGGGTCTCATGTTTCATTTTTATTTTCTCTCCATAATTTTTTTTCTGTATTTTCATCCCTAGACACTTTTTATTCCTTTTTCTATCCTCGTGTTCTTATTTCTTTTCCATTTGTATTATTCTATTTCTCACTCCATTGAAAGAGTTTTTTTAAAAAAAAAAATTCCAAAAAAGCTTTTTTGTCGTTTTTTTTGTTCCCGTATTTTTATTTCATTTGATATGTTTTCTTCTTAATCATTCTCTTTGAATTAATATCTTTTTCCCATTCTACTTTTTGTTATATTTTTATTTTCGCTTTTCCCCTTTTTTTCTTCTTGTTAGTTTATTTATTTTTTCTAGCTTCTTTCTTCTTTTTTCTTCTTGTCATCTGAATTCCACCATTGATATGTTTTTTCTCCTTTTGTATCCTATTTTTTTACTCCGGGGGGTCTGGGGGAGGGAGGCTGGGGGAAGCGTGGAGTAATTAGGGCTGAAACTCACTCCATTGAGTTTCAAACCCTTATGTGTCTAGCAGGTTTCAAACTCGAGACCTCCCACTAGGCACGGTAAATTCACAACCCTTTAGTATTAGGGCTGAAACTCACTCCACTGAGCTGGAATGCTTGGTTAAATTCACAACCCTTTAGTATCGTATTTTTCTAAGTAAATTCACCAATTAATTTCATCAATATAATTGTGGGTAAAACACTATGTGAATCAATATAATTGTGGGTAAAACACTATTTGATAAAAAGATCATGGAAAAATAAAACATTTGGGAAATGCAAAGAAAAATGAAAGATTCAGGAAAATGTAATTTTTTCTTTCTTTCATTTTCGCGAATGTTTTGTTTTTCTTTTAGCTTAATTTTTCCCTAACCTTTTTGTCACATAGAATTTTTCACAAAGTTGATGGAATTAAGGGGTGGAGTTACTTAGAAAAATACGATAATGCATAAAGGAGAAAAAAAAAATTGATTGTGGAATTAAGATAACAAGAAAGAAGAAAAAACATTAAAAAAGGTAACAAGAAGAAGAAAAAAAGGAAAGTGAAAATAAAAAGAAAATATAACAAAAAGTGGAGTGGGAAAAAGATCTTTTTTTTGTTTTTTATGGGAAAAAGATATTTAATCAGAAGGGAAAGATTTTTAAAAAGAGAAACATAAAAAGTGAATCATCATCATCATATCATAAACTACAGAAACATTTTTTACAATCAAAGTGACATATTTCACGGCGGTAGTGCGGCCGTAATTGGTAGTGATATAATAAACTGGCAATGACATAGATACACCTTCATTGACATAGTAAACTTGTGGTGACTTAAGTAGTTTTCTAAATTTATTACTTTGTTAGTTGCATTTTATCCACATGTTATAGTTACTTTTTTCAAATTGGGCAATCTAATATTAAGTTTTCACAAGATTTGAGCGATTGAGTCCTATTTTTGAAACAAAATAGTGATGCTACTATTTTATAAATTAAATGCATTATGTTTTGATCATTTATAGGAAATGCTCTCTTATTTTTTAAATATATTTGATCCACTTAATTATGACATCTTAAATTTTAAATATGTTTTAGCTATTGTATGTTCAGTTAGTTCCTATGGCAGTATTTTGGTTTTACTTTGTTATTCTTTGGCCTTCACATCCATATGATGTTGTAATAATATGATTTGTGTATGTTTTTAGCTCAAATTTTGGATGGATATTTCTTATTGTGAGTATATTTAGAGTTGTCTTACATATAGCATAGGTGTAGAAGGTTTTGAATTGGATAGATTTTAGTCACATATCACATCAGGCCGGAAGAGATTTCAATGAAAGTAAAATACGCATAAAAAGATATCTACCAAATTAGTTCAATTGAAAACAGATCAGACCATATCAAAAAATTTGGGTTCAATTAAAAACATCTTTGGTACATGTTTGATTGGCCTAAGTTACTACCTTGTACATAATGTTTTTAAATTATTTATTGTTTGTAACTCTAAATTGTATGTTTGGTATAATAGTTTTTTTAAGGTTAAAATAGTTTTTGAAATCTACACTCATTTCACAAAAACGATGTTTTGACTTGACACAAGGATAAAGAAAGCATAAATTGTATGACCGAAAATGTGCATGTGACAAAAAGATAATATGAATTACTAATAGTTGAACAAAAACATGAGATTATATTGAGACAGGTGCAAAAATATGAAATGTATCTAGACGATGTCTCTTTTTAGCATTAAGTACAATATCATGTATTCAAAACCTTTTAGACCAAAAAGATTACTAAAAGATTTAAGAATATAAGTTTTCAGATAGTTTTGATGAAATGTATATACTAGCTTCTATTTTAAATATGAAATGTATTGATGTCTCTTTTTAGCATTAGGTATAATATCTAGACGTATTTTCTTATAGATTATAGACTAGCTTTTATTTTAAATTTTCAAGGCATGGGACCACAATTTGCAATTGTTGGGCAGTAAGAGCATCTCTAATGCTAATACGTTAACGGTGCATACGTGGCATCATAGATAGCCAATCAAAAAATAGTAAATAAAATATCTCACTCCTTATTTGAAGGATCTTATATCATTTTGGTAAGTTTTTCTTCACAATGTCAAACACAATGTCTAGATGTAGACATTATGGTTGACATTGCAGAGAATAACTTACCAAAAACACATAAGACTGTAGAAAGACGGAGAGAAGAATGTCATAAAATCAATCTTTTGTGTCTATCTCTCTCGTGCCACATGTGCACCGTGCACATTGTAGCATTGGAGATGCTCTAAGGTTGAAAAGGGAACTAAGCACGGCCATAGTCTTGTAGGGCAGCAAAAGTGACAAGCGAGATACATGCAGAACCAGCAAACATAGCAAACATTTATAACTTATAAGCTAATACCAATCAACAAAGAATTCACACTAATGGACCCAATCCACTTAAACCACGTTACTTGTTCCACTTGTGTACCGACATTTCCATTGATCAATGGCAATTGGTTAATAACTGTGAAAAAAATTGTGATTAATCTGAGAGAATGAATACACAGAAGGCATAAGAAATATGGTACTACAGGATTTCATCACTGTTGAAACTAGCAAGTACGTATCAAATACTTTCTCCGTTCTTTAATTCTTGCAACATTGTGATTTTTGCACTATTCACGGATCTTACTTTGACTACGATTTTCTACTAATATACATAATCAAATTATTACGTATAAAGTGTTATTGAATTCCTATCATTGTGAATTTCCAAAATATCAACTTTTTATAATGTTTACTAATACATAATTAAATATAATTACAGTCAAAGTTGTGCGTTGGCAATCGTGAAAGTCAAACTGTTGCAAGAATTAAAGAACGGAGGATAGTAAGATATACGGGGTAGATAATTAACCGAGGCAGAGTGAAGAATTGATCAATTAGAAAAACTCCATAGCTTTGGTTTTATAAGAACGGGGATAAAAGAAATTAATTGAAGCTTAAAAGATTCTGCTAGCGGGTCAGACATAGCTAAAAGGAACTAGTAAGCATGGCCATAACCTTGCAGGAAAGCATAAAGGGACCAGCCAGAGACTTGCAGAACCTGCAATCATTAAAAAGGTAGTACTAATGAACACAGAATCCACAAATAGATGCTCAAAGAGAAAGAGTGTGAGGGTTAAAGATGTAGAGAAACTGGGGTGCAAACAATACCTAAAGATATGCAGCTCCAGTAAAATAACTGCAATGAGCCCCAGTAATGTTGAACTTCTGTTGGTTCTTGCGGTTAATGCTTAAGAATGTCACTTCGGTAGGCCAATCGAGGGATTCGATGGGTGGCACTTGAGCAGCTAGTACCTTAACTGAGAAGGTTGATACAAGAAGATAATAGTCGCCTGTTTTGAATTCCTTAGCTGTCAGCAGGCCAAAGTAGTCACCAGGGGAGAATACACATAGTAATTAGTGGGGGCAGCTGCCCCCAATAATGATCCAACTTTTCCTTAGTGACCATTAGAAAAATTAAAAGAACTTGAATTTTGCCCCCAATTAAAAAAGAAAATTGCCCCCTATTAGTCATCAAGCGATCCAATTTAAACAAAGAGATGATATCAGGTTTCCCGTGTGTAGCGTTATAGCAGAAGAATTTGAAGGAATGAAATTAATTTTAATTTATTCAGATAGAAGAAACATCTAGAACTTGAGAATCCTAGACACTAGACAGACGGCGTCAATCCAATTGTGCAAAAGTGCACATTCCTAATACACCGTACTCTACTTCAAAGCTCAAATTAATTATTATGTATGGTATATCTATATCCATTATCCAACTATCAAATATCAAATACGGAAATTAGAACTCTAGATGTTGTTTAGATATCATAAGCAAACAATACAGTTTATCCTGGTTTAATCAAAATGTAACTATTCCAGACGGTGGGTTAAATTAACAAGAAATTAACAATCTGAAATTTAAAACTAGGTATATAATAATGTAAGGGACTTATAAAAATACTAAGAGCCCGTTTGGTAATACCAAAATCGACTAAATCGGCTGATTCTACTGAAAGTTATAAAATTCTGGCTGTAGTGGCTGAAGTGGCAGATCCTGCTGATTTATGAAGAAATTATATTTAAAATATATTTTATTAATAAAATAAAGAAAAATTAGATCTTAAATAGCTAAAATGGCCATCTACAGTAACTTCAGTCAATACAGGCAGAAAAGTAACTGCAACCTTTCTTTTTCTGATTATTACACAATTCAGCGCACGAAATGAAAAGTTTCGTGTTTCGTGAAAACTGAAAAAAGTTGTTGATAAGCCTGATAAACGAAAAAGGTTACCAAACGAGCTCTGAAACTTATATTCATTAGCAGTTAGCACTGAGAATTGTATCTTTTCTCTTCCAACTTAATTATATATAAATGATACGAACAATTGAATTAATTGTATTATAATTAAATTAGCTAAATTATAATAGTAACTCACCATAAATTTAAATATATTATTATTATATTTATGATTTAACATTGGTTGTTAAATTGTTGGCTGTTTCGGATGGTTAACAGACACAATAACTTTTTTTAATAAAAAACTGTAACTATTGGTTGTTTCAGAATGTTAGATTAAGATATGAAGTACTTCTCATTTCTGAATGTGTTGCTTCAATGCCTTAAGAAGTTTTTTGGAGAAACTTTATTGATTCTTATATATGACTCCGTGAAAAGAATTGAAAAAAAGTTTGTAAGTATCATCCTAAGGGTGGAGCTAGGGGTATACACTTTTTGTACACACAATTTGTACACTTGTCTGTCCCCCACAGACAAGTTGTCTGTTGCGAGATAAGTTATCTGTGGACAGACAACTTGTCTGTGAGGGGGACAGACAAGTGTACAAATTGTGTGTACAAAAAGTGTGTACCCCAATCTTTTTTCATCATCCTAATCGAAGAGATGAAAACTCACAAAGAGAAGTCATGAACTAGCTACTTTATCATGACGTACTCTTGAAAGTGTAATACTCCGTATACTTTATTAAATTCTTAGTATTTGCAGTTTGCTTTATTACAATTGTTTTCTATCTAATACTTCGTATATTTTGTTACACTCTTTTAGTGGGATGTACTTCACTAAATTTTCCGCCCCCAATACCTTCCTGGATCCGCCAGTGATAGTCACGATTCCCTATCTCAACAAATGTGCACCCCATCTTGTCCCCTCCAAATCCTTCCAAGTGGAAGATCCCGTTCACATTTTGATAACAGGAGAATCCTTTTCCTTGCGGGAAAATACCAGCTCGAATTTCTGGAAAGTCCACAATTAAGAACCCAAAAACGAGATACATATCTTCATCTAAACCAGGAACTGGACAGCCATGACACCTATGTTTCCACACAAAAAAACAGTGATCCTTGGACCATTCCTCTGTCTTGAAATCAAAAACTAAAAGCCTTCTCTTTCCTTGACAACTCACTTGCAAGTAGAGCTTCTCCCCTATTCGATGGTACTCATGCACGATGTACCGTCCCTCAGAAAAGGGTGTAGCTGATTTCGCAACCAAACCGCTTTCTGGAAAAGCAGAATCGAAAACCTCAAAAACACTCCCACTCAACCGGTCTTGGAGAGCAGGGTTTATTTGCAGAACAAATATCCTGCTTCCGAACTCTTGGACAATTGCAATTCCCTTCCCCTGGTTCATCTTTGGCATGATTGTGGAAGGAACTATGGACACGGAATCGGAATGCTGTTTCACCTCATAGATTTCTCTGGGAAAGGCATCATCGATTGGAAGGATAACTCCAACAGCTATTGCGATGCATATTACGGTCCCCGGCCACCAAGAAAATCTTGGACTCCAATTCCACCATACGCATAAAGCGAATTGGTAGTTCCGTCACCGAACAATTTGATTCAATGGCGTTTCCGACGTTCTTTATCACAAAGAGATGATATGCCGATAGAAGAAACAGAGTCTTTGCCGGGCGATCGACCTTCCGTCTCCATACTTTCGCCTTCCCTCTTTATCACAAAGAGATGATATGCCGATTGGACATGCCGCAAGTTGAAGTTGAAGAGGGTCCGATCGTTGAGCTCGCCTTAGGGTTGGAATCTAATAGGCCTGTCGTCGTTGGGGTTGCTTCATGCACACTAGACTAGTCCGCCCCATGCTTAAGTAGGGCACGCATCTGGAACATAAAAACTGAAAACCGAACTAACTACACCAATATGATTGAAATTGGGATCCGAAAATTGGGATAAAAAAACGGTTTAGAATAGGTGGGTGTGATCGGATCGGTCAATTTGGATTGGGTTTTGGTTAGGATCCTAGAAACTTGAGAATCTTTGGGTTCTATATGTTGGGATTGGAAAATTCTTCTATTCAATATCAAGAACAGAATTACAATAGGAGCAAAATATCACACTCAGCTATTACAAAAAATCAATCCTCACCAATACACTTCTACTCTAAGTGTACTTTCACTCTTCACACACTTTTCTCACTTTCTAAACTGATGATATGAACAACAATAGAACACTCTATTTATAGGCTGGTTTGGAGACAAGAGGAAGTTTGATCCAAGCTTCCATAGTTATCTCCATATCTTCACCATGTTCATATGTTGGAGACCTCCTTCCAAGAAGGTGTGAGATGCCTCTTGGCAACTTCCAAGAAATATGGTGGAAATTCCCTACATTTATTATACTCTCACATAAAAAAACGGTTTAAGAACCTAATGTTCGGGTTGGGTTCGGGTTGGATCGGATTGAACTCAGAAAAAATCAAACTGGGATGTCTAAAAAAATTGTATACACTCACAACCAATAACATACATCAAAATAAAAGGAGAGTAACTTGAATTTAAAAATTGTTTTAGGTAGGACTAAAACATAGACACAATGTAGAAATGGGACTACATGTGTTTTATTCCCAAAATAGAACTTGATTGGTCATATTAAAAGTATAAAATTTCCTCATTTAGAAGTAAGAGAGTCACATTCTAGGGAAAAAACAATAATCCTATTTATGCACTTCGTCTAAGTCTTATGCACTTTCTCAATCAAAACATTACAAGAAAAAAAGGTTGAAGAAGAACGTTTGGTTCGAAAACAACATAATAAAATTGTTTGATTGACGAAATATAAAACAATGGCATTGAGCTTGATCACTATACACCTTGTAGCTGTTAATAAGTTTTCGGCTAAAGGGTCAAATAGGTACATGAACTAACTTAAAGTGTTCAATTAGCCCCTTATATAGGAGGTTCTGCCCGGCCGTCGCCAATTGGGGCGGTTCCCAGTTGAATTTTTTGATGAAATTTTGAGTATCTTCTTCTTCTTTTTTTTTTTTGCAGAGAAAGTGTGCTTTGTATTATTAAAATTAAGAGTGAGCATTACAGAGTAAAATCTTGATGGGCTGTAAGGTCCGACCCAAGCAAGAGAGTAAGAAAACAAGGGATGGCCCGAGTGGGGCAAAAGGAATAATTTACTACAGCGTCCGTCCAATATTTGGAATAAACGCAGAGCATATCAGTCCAAATTAATCCCTAGAGCATATTCTTCGTTTTTGAGATAGTGTCTTCGTGAATTTGCCTCCTGCGATGTTGTAATCTGAGGGGTTATAGTCTAGCCGGCGTCTCTGAAGAAAATTGAACCCTTAAGATCGTTTTTGTATGCTGCCATAGCCAGGTCTGGAAGAGTGTACTCCGTAAAGGTTATGAGCATCTTCTTCATTAAGTGTAGTTTATCCATATCAAATTTCAGCTAAAAATTAAATCGAGAAGGCAGTCAATTGATTTTCCGAAATGTACTGCGCTGTTTAACTGCGCAGTTATCTTCAAAAATCATTTGATTGTCTTCCCGGTTGAATTTTTAGCTGAAATTTGATATGGGTAAACTAGACTTAATGAAGAAGTTGCCCAAAAAATATCATCAAAAAATTCCACCGGGAACCGTCCCAATTGGCGACGGCCGGGCAGAACCTCCTATATAAGGGGCTAATTGAACACTTTAAGTTAGTTCATGTACCTATTTGACTCTTTAGCCTAAGTTTTCGAGTATTATAAGGTATGAAGTATTTGTTGGGTGTGTCTCGAAAAACGAAAAAAATTAATTAATAAAATTAATTAAATGACTACGCGTGATGTACTTAAAACGTATTTGTTGTCTCCGATCCCCCGGTGCTAGGAGCGTGGCAACGGCCATTTCCCAGGATATGGTGGCTAACGAATGATCGTTTGAGCACACAAACGAAAGGTCCGGCGAACGAGAACAAAGTATGAATACTAATATGGGGATGAATTTTCGGAAAGCTGAAGGTGATTTTAGCTGAAAACGTTTGTGCTAACTGTGTTGTGAGATTTGTTCTTGCAAAGCTCCTGTCAACTATATATAGGGATAAATTTGTGGTGTGCTGACTGATCTTTAATGGACCTGGACGTTGTGCATAAATGTCCATCACGTTGGGCATTAATATGTCGAAAATTGTCCATTTAAAATGCGCATTAAAGGAGAAGAGCGTTGGGCCTTTAAAGGCTGTAACGCCTTAGAGCAGTTTTGGTGCATCCAGGGCAGAAGACCCCTTAGAGCACTTCTGGTGCGACCAGGCCAGAACCCCCCTTCTTATCAGAACAGAAGCCGAGCGATTTTGGTGTAGACAGGACCCCGCGCATACAAGTCGCGGTTTTACCCAAACTAGTCATTTTTAAAATAGAACCCGGACCATTGTCATTATCGGGTTGGGTCGGTTCGGTTATCGGATTTTGGGTCGGTTTTTCCACCTCTACTTAAAATTCATTAAGTAACCTATTTATAATTATGTTTAAAATTACATAAAGGGATTATAAAAGTGTACTCATAACCAATTTCATCAATTTTATTTCACAAATATCTATTGGAGAGGTTATTCATCAATTTCATCAATTTTACTTTGATAGAGAGTATAAAATTAAAACATAATTATAACCATATAAAGTAAATATTTCTCAAAAAAAACCATTAAAAGTTAATAAATCACATTTTATCCACTATAATTATTTGGGTCATAGTTATCGATTATTTCTTTACTTAATATAGGATGATCGATATCATAGTTGAAAAATAGAAACTTGTTTAATATATATTCCAAAAAAAAACTTTTATATGTAATATATTACTGTCGTATGAAACGTCATAAGAATTACGGAGTATGAATTTTAAAATATTTTGTAAAAGTTAGAGTTAAAATGTAAAGGTTGTAACACTTTGAATTAAAATAGATTTTAAAAATAAGTATAAGGGATTAAAATCTGATTTATAGACATTTAGTGACTATAATAAAAAAAAAATCTAGTCCTTATATAATAAAAAATGCTTATATGCTCGATTTTCATTCAAAATTACACGCCTTTCGGTGACCCTATTTTTGGATTTATGAACCTTAGTAGTCAAATTTTTCACCAAATATTTAAATTTTGATTTCATACGTTGGATTCTGTAATGATCAAGATAAGAAAGGTTGAAGGTACTTTTTTGCCTGAATTGAATGAAGTTGCTATAAATGAAATATAATTTAAATATATGTTACTTTTTATATGATTTTATTTATGTTATAAATAAAATATAATTTAAATTTAATTTTTCCATAATTCAGTGGATTCATCTAACGGTTTTAAAATGTCACACGGGGGCATGAGCAGTAAAATATATAGAGGCATACAATTGGTGGGGGGGCGAAGGTATAAAAATCTCCATTTTCTTCAAAGTGTTATAACTTTTTTCCTCTAATTTCTAGAAAATATATATATCAAAATTCATAATTTATTTATATATAGAAAAATTGAGAGGCTCAATCAAAGACTATTCTACCCTTAATCAAACTCACATGTATGTCTCTCTATCCCATTTTCTCTCTTCTCATACCCTTCTGCAACGTGTCTTTTTCTTTTTAAGCCTTTGCGTTTCACAAAAGAAAAAAAAGGTGTTGCTCAACAACAAAAAAACGGCTCTTACCCTATGTTGTAAGACCCGAGTCGGACCGGGCGGGTCAACCCACCGTATGTTGTAAGACCCAAGTCGGACCAGGCGGGTCGACCCGGAACTGGCGACCCCGCTTGGAATACCAGGCCGGTTGAGGTCTAACCCGTAAATCACCCTGAACCAGCCCAAATCCGAAAACCCGCGTATATAACCCGGTCAGAAACCCAACCCGAAACTCGGATTTACCCAACCAACCCGGAGTAAATTAAAAACATGTCCGCAGGGAGGAATCGATCCCTGATCACTACGGAAAAAGCTAAAGTGCTTCCCACTCAGACACAACAATTGGTTTGACTCATTTGCTCTTCGTTGATAATAATATCTTCACGTTAAAGTTAAAAAGTATTATGATTCCGTTGTAATAATAAGTACTAGTAACAGTAATAACTATTATTACTAATATTATACTTTAAAGTTAAAAAGTATTATGATTCCGTTGTAATAATAAGTACTAGTAACAGTAATAACTATTAGGGAAAACTGTCAAATAGGTCCTCGAACTTTTATAAAAAGATCAATTAAGTCCTTCTATAAGAGGTTTTGTCCGGCCGTCGCGATTTGGGGTAGTTCCCGGTGAAATTTTTTGATGAATTTTTTTTAGCATCTTATTCACCAAGTCTAAGTTACTCATACCAAATTTCAGCTAAAAATTCAATCGGGAACATATTCAAATTAATACTTGAAGATAATTGCGCATTTTTGCGTTCTCGAATTAATTTGAATGCGCTCCCGATTAATTTTTTAGCTGAAATTTGGTATGAGTAAACTAGACTTGATGGATAAGATGTTAAAAAAAATTCATGAAAAAATTCTACCGGGAACCGTCCCAAATCGCGACGACCGGACAGAGTCTTCTATAGAAGGACTTAATTGACTTTTTTATGAAAGTTCGAGGACCTATTTGACAGTTTTCCCTAACTATTATTACTAATATTATACTCATACCACTTATGATCCTAACATCAGGTTAAGCGTATGTCTATATACTTCGTATATCATTCCAAATATAAATAAAAGAGATATTACCCAAAATGGGACTAAAAAAGTTCGAAAATTCCAAAATAGGACTTCCATGTTTTTATTCCCAAAATAGGACTAATTACTGCCATGTTTTGGCAGTACCAGACTTCAAACATGGCAGTATTTTCCAAATTTGGCAGTAATTAGTCCTTTTTTGGGAATAAAAACATGACAGTCCTATTTTGGAATTTTCGAACTTTTTAGTCCCATTTCGGGAACTTTCCCTAAATAAAAATACTCATACCACATTTTAATGATTTGTGATACATGCATGTTATATCCATATTCATTAGAATCATTACCGAGTATTTACGTAACTCTAAATGGAATTTGAATTTTGTTTAAAACTATATAGTGCATATCAACTCTTGTATTTTATAAGCTTATGATGCTTATTGTCTTTATTAAATTAAGAATCATAATATATTTTCCCGTTACATATTTAATAAGATTAATAATTACACATATTTTA